GGCTGCGTCTCCGATGGGGCTTACGGGGGCTGTGCCCCCGATGGGGCTCACTAGGGCAATGCCCCGATTAGGGTTTACGAAGTCTGCGTCCCTGAGTGGGGCATCCGATGGGGCTCACTCGATTCAAGATTAACGCGCCACTCTAACCCATGCGATGCCGTGTTGGTTAGAGGTGTGTAATATACGGTCATAACCTCACTTTTCCTGAATTTTAGTGAAAACAGGCGTTTCCGTCAACCGATCGGTTCCAAAATCAATAGGGTTCTTAGGGCGGCCGAGAGGCACCTACTGGCCAAATTTCATCGAAAAAGAATGATTCTGTGAAGAGTTATCGCGGTTCACAGAAATCCGGACAGACAGACAGACAAAAATTTCACTTATTTTCACTTAATACAAATCTTGTGCGTTAACCATTTTACACTGCTCAATTATTAAAGCACTCCGCTGCGCGTCGTGCTTCAAATTCATTTCGCACTGTGAAATTTAAGTTACCGCACACGAATGTAAATAACTATTTTAAACGACCAAAAAATGACACTATCGACTTATGTGTCAAAAAATTAAAAGAAGCAAAAATATACTAATTTATAAGAAGCAAAAATATACTAAAAATTACTAAAAATAAATTCGAAGTCATTCGAACATGGAGGACTTGGTCCAAACAAAGACTAAGAAAGGCGTAGGAGAAGAAGTGGTCGGCCACAAACAACGAATAAACGTCTTTGGCAACTGGCTTCATTTCCTTGACATTGTTAATGTGACATAAACATTAACATGAGTCCAAAAACAATTCATTTATGAGATAGAAAAGCTTAATTGAAAGAAAACTAAGAATTAAGGCTCTAGGGTACCGAATGAACTGTTCAGATTTGGTGTACTGTAAGTTGCATACTCTATTTAGATTTTTATTCTGTGGCAGCTGTCAATCATCCGACCTTCTCTACCTAGTGCGTGGTCCCTTTAGTCATAAAATGGAAATAAAGTAAACAAACAGAATTTCACCATCCATGAGTTTCTCTTATTTCAGAGATTCAGATTCTAGCTCAGTAGAAAGAAAAGTTCATTTTTCTCTTGATTTTGGACTTTTTTTTTTTTTTTTGACAATAATGTCACTTTGACAAATGAGTTTTCGGAAGTTAAATAAAAAAAGTGTGGGAAAAACATAATTTTGATAAATAGCAACTCAAAGAAATAGCTTTAAGATAAAAAACAAAGTCATTTTTAACAAAAACTATCATTATTTATTAATAGATTTTTTTAAAAATGTATATTTCATTTTACGCCAAAACTGCAAAGGAGAAACATTTTTCGCTTCACCTGAAACGAGCAAAATCAAGAGAAAAATGACTTTTTTTTATTCATTATTAGTCATTCTGCTCAGATAAACCAGGTGCTTATACCAACCCAGTTCCAGAACATTTTGAAAAACAAGGTTTAGTGGTGGGTTTTGCTAAATTTTAGGGTGGTAGTAGGGACTTATATATTGAAAACGTACAATTTTATAACTTGTTTACTTTTTGACTCTTTGCAGTTTGCTAGTGGCTCTCTTCCACCGCAGTGCTTTGAAATTTTCTTATCACGTGTTGTTGAAAACGTTGTATTGAAATTATGGGTAATAATTCTAAACAATTTCTTTCAAAAAAAAAAGACAAATTCGAAAATGATGCGTAATTATTGGAAAAAACAACGAAAAGGTTCTAAAACTGATCTTCCAAGTAAATCAAGTCTTGCAGAATGTAGTTTTCAGTCAATTGAATCGAGTTCCAATGACGATGAAGTGTTTATTATTGACAAAGAAACTAGTCAAGAACAAAATTTTGTTCCCAGTCGTCGAAGGATTGTTGACATAGGGCATTTATTTTTGGAATTAAAAAACATAAAACATAACATTTTTT